TCGCCTTGCTTCTTTTTCCAAGTCCTCTGTTAGTTCCACGCATAAATACTGAACAAGATTTTCCGTTAATGGAAAAAAATCATAAAATACATCATCATGAAGACTAAAAGCATATTTTCTGTTTCTATACATCGGTCTCCTCCGAGGACTTAGCCATGTAAAATATTTACTAACCATGCGCTCGCCATTACTCTACTGAAAATACCAGTGATTTTCGCGTCGACCGAAAAGAGCGCTCAACATCCACTAAAACTTGCTTGGAATACCAAAAATCGAGCAATGGGCGGGGAAATTAGAATATCAGGTAAAACGCCCCCTGGCGCGGCTTCCAAAAACTCAAATCGATGGTCGACTCGAGCTCAGAATACCACCCCCGTGTCGTTAAAGATATATGACGCAGAGATGCCACCTGCACCGGACACGTTAAAAAAAAAATTTTTAGAAAGGTAAATAACTACACACTAAAATGTGCAGATATTTAGCTAAAGTCTTTTCTATAGAAGGATTAACATGACAACGACATGCAAGTATCGAATTATATAAGCTTTTGAATTATATAGAAATACTGGTGGATTAAAACCAAAAAAATAAAATTTAATAAATAATGGATCATACAATTAAAAACTACCACTCGAAAATATATATACGCTATCGGAGCAAGTTGGCATCTCTGATGACAAATAAATGAACATCCAAAACAGTAGCGGTATGAAACATATGGAATCATTTCTATTCGAACTTTATACAGAGCTGCCAACTTTCAATGCTTTTTGTAAAACTTTATACTAGTGGTAGCTATTTATATATTTTAATGTATTATTTTTCACTCATTTAAGGTTATTTTCCACACCACTACATATAAATGATTTTAAAGTTCATATACAACTCTACTGTGTTCCTCTACGCTCAAGGTGAGACCTTTAAGATATTTGCTAAATTTCTAAAAGTTTTTGGATTTAATGGCTATCACTCGATAAAATATTTTGCAAAATCCGTAGTCTTTTATCAGGGAATGTTTATGAAGATTTAACTTGAAAAATTGTTGGCATAATTCGGAAGATCATGATAGAAGATTTTTAGATTTAAGTCCTTTAGGGCCTTGCATGTGTCAATTCAATTGAATCGTTATATTTTATAACTGAAATTAACATACCTGCTAACTTTTAATCCCTTCCATTATCATTTTCCCCAGTGGTATTAAAATTTCAATTTTAAGCAAAAAAATATGTTGTATTTTTAAAAAAAAAAAAAGCTGACAGCCTTGACAGTAACGCATATTAAGACATGTGTTTAATTTTTTTAAGAATAGTGGTGATCAAAATCATTTAAAAATTATGTTTATAAAAGAAAAAAAAATTGTATTTATTTACTACCACTTTAAATATGAAAATAAAATTTTATGCTAAATGCGTAAAAGTAGTAAGTTATGATTAATTGCGCAAGATAAATTTTTCACATAAAATTATTTTTTAAATTATAGTGGTACTAATAAATAATTTTTTTTTTATCCTATGACGTTGCATTGGTTTGATGCGAATCTTCCAGCGGAAAGAAAGACATAATTGAGACTGAAATGAGAGACTATGACAAATTTTCCTAAAATAATGTTAAGTTTCTATGATTTGACTCATCTGTTAAACTGAATCACATATTACTTGTTTCTAACTTGCCACAGAAAAAACGTAACCGTGAATAGTGTAAAAATATTTATATTAAGTCATAGCAACCATAAAGAGTTGCTACAACATTCATAACAAAAAAACAGTTGTATAATGACCTAAGCAGATGTGAAAATTTTTATTTTATATTAATGAGAATATGAAATCGAAAGTGGTATCTTTTCAACAATGCTAGTGAATCATTAAAAGTTGTGCTCAAAACCATAAGATATTACAAAATTGTTCGCAAAAAATTTTCCAAAGTGGTAGTTTTATTGTAAATCCTATGTTAGACGTTTAGTACCACAAGCATACGGCCGTTCTTTGGAAATCACCTTTTCAATGCAAATTCCATTCAAGACATTCTGTTCCATAAACGCATGGCCGTTCTTCGAAAATCTATGTTTTGATGTGAATCCTATGTAAGACATTCTGTTTCATTAACATGTTTGTTCTTCGGAAATCCCTACTTCATTATATATCCTATGAATGATATTATGTTCCATAAGCGTTCTTCGGAAATTCCTGTTTCAATCTTAATTCAAAGAAATTCAGTTCCCTAAGTGTAAGGCCATTCTTCGAAAGTTACAGTTGTTGTATAGAGATCGTCGTTCAAGGAGGTTTTACAGTATTTGCAAAATTTTATTAGCTAGATTTATTAAATTAGCAGGCACTGCCCAGGTGCTCAGCTGGATCCGGGTCATCTCTTCAGCTGTGTCTCTGTTGCCTCGACCCTCCTCTGCATCGACCTCAACTGCTGCCATGACACCCTTTATTCCGAAAAAGTCGGAGATGTGGCCAGGGCTGCGCTTCATGCCTTTGGTCCCATTTAAGTTGTACTTTTCTGCACATGTCAAACGACAACAACAACAACATTAAATTAGCAAAAATTTCTAGACCCTAACTAAAACATTTCGTTTAAAATTCGATGCTGTTTTAGTGACAGTGCGATATTGAAACAATTAAAAAAACAAGTTTTTTTTTCAATATTGCATGCTAAAAACGCATGAACCAAAATATATTACGGATTTGTATTAAGATAAAAACACCGTCTAGAACTGTGAAGCTATTTAATATTATTTTATAACCGTAGTTAAACAGCCAATCCAATTATGGGTTTACGACTACTAATGTTCAACTCCGAAGCATTGTAATTTTGAACCTAATCCAGAAGTCAAGAAAAATTCTGGATAAAGTACTGAGAGTATTGGATCAAGTATCGGGATCTATTTAAAAGATGTATAAAGTTTAATCTGTGACAATGGGTTTCAGCAATGAAACTTTATTTTTTTTTCAATATCAAACTACATGGCGCTGAATAGTGGTGACTGTTTACAAATCACCCCATGAAAATTTGCAATCTTTAAGGGGAGAAAAACGATCCAAATCGACACCACCGAACTCGAGTCAGTAGCAAGTATCCATACTGACAGACTTTTGCTTTCATCTGCACTCATGTCCATAAATTAAGAATAATGCCAGAAACCAGAAAATAATAGTTCACGAATAAAACAAACGTGACTCATTTATTAAACCCATTTATAAAGCAAAAAATAAGGATAGAAAACATCGTGTATGTTTGTCACATAATAACTACCATTCATTAGAACTACGATTTTTGTTCTCTGGAAAAATGATAAAAAAAATATTTCTTCAACAAAAATTAATTAATTATTATTCAAAACGTATCTCAACCAAACTATGTTGGCGTCATGGATGTCTACCATATGGAACGTTTCTGAACAATGTGCAGAGGTAAACTGAAACTCGCGATTCCCTCTGAAAAACCGCAAAGGTCCAGAAACGGCATCGACCAGAAAACAGCGTTGCTGTCACATTTGTGGCAGCACATTTGTTATTGTGTTTGTGTATTTGTGGCAGTTTGTATTTGTATTTGTGTTTGTTATTGTGTATTTGTGGCAGCACGCTACATTTGTGCTGTCACATCTGTCTTATTTCCATACCAATATTACTTGAAAGAGGAAGCCTAACCACCTATCAACGTATGTATTTTATGAAATTATGTTACTACTGTTTCATTTTTTCTGATTATGATGACTGTTACATTGTTATCATTGTTGTTGAAAGATTATTTCATTTATGCTATGACAATATGTGAATATGTTTACTTGCCAACTTTTCCGGAAGATTTTATTTTAATATTTAAAGTGGTAGTAAATATATGCTATTTTTTCTTTTATAAATTTAATTTTTAAATGATTTTGATCACCACTATTCTTACAAAAATTAAGCACATATATTAATATGCGTTACTATCATGGTTGGCAACTTAAGTTTTCTCAAATACAACATATTTGTTTGCTTAAAATTGAAGTTTTAATTCCATTTTAATACCACTGTGAAAAATTATAATGGAAAGGATTAAAAGTTGGCAGGTATGGCTGTTCTTACAAAATTTCATTGTAGTTGTTGTGTAGATAATGGGATACTTAATAGGGACGTAGTGTGGGTATCTCGATCCTGATTAGTTGTTGATGCGAGACATTTGCTTACGTTATTAACTGTTCTTTCCATTCTATTTCAAGAAAGCCAAGCATCAATTCTCTTAAGTGATAAAATCTATGTTCTCTCTCAAATAATTTTTCACAAATATTTCAATTCTTTCACCACATATTTCTTAACACAAAAACAGGCTCGGAGGCATGTCGAACATAAACAAACTAATTATGCATTTAAAGTTGCCAGGTACAAAAACAAAAATTATGGCACGGTTTCGATGAAATAAATACATTAACAAATAATAAATCTAAGTTAAGGAGAAAACGCAGACGAGAAAGAATTATATTTCTCCAAATTCGAGGTGCGATACGGTGGTGCATTTCACATTGGTTAACATATGTGTATACATATGTGTGTGTTGTATTTCACATTGGTAACTTATGTGTAGAAACTTAGCTCAACTTTAACACATCATTTTGCTTATGACTGTCTTTGGTCACATGGGTGGGTGTTTGAGAGCTTGTTCTTTTTGAAGTGCAAGTACCCAATTGATCAAATCAGAAGAGTTTCTTACTTTCCAACACCAGTGCTTAACTGAATTGCTATTTTCCTGGTATTTCTTAATTAAATTCGAAACATAATGTTACTTAAATATTTCAAGTTAAAAAAAAGGCAATAACTGAAATTCCGAACATAAAATTGAAAATTAATTTTTATTAAAAAAAGTTAATTTCTTCGTAAATAAACTAAGTCCTGATTTCAAGGATTTTTATTGATTATACGAAGATACAGAAGCAAAAATTATTTAAGCATATGATACGAAATTAAATTGTTCTAAATTAAGCTGTGGTTAAAAAAAAACACACTTCCAAGTAAAAAGGGTTTTTTAATAAATTTTATTTTGAAGCAAGCTGCACTTTGAGTACAATTTGTTTCAATGGTTTTTATAGTACAACTTACAAAAATATGAACTAAAAACTCATTTATCATTGTAGGTTAAGATTTCGATTCTTGCATTATTTAAAAAATGGACTCCACCTCTCTAAATAGCCATCTGTAAAAGAAATTATAATTAATTTATACAAAAGCAGTTTCAGTATAAATTCCAAAGTTTAAAATAAATTTGAATTGAATGGCTCACTGTAATGCCATAATAAGCCAAATTTTTTATTTTTTATTAATTGAAATAACAATAATAAAATAAACAGCAACGGAACTTGATCACCATGCAGGTTGAACAAACTTTACTAACTTCTCTTGACATTTACTAATAATAACGAATATTAAAATGAGTTTTTATATGCTAATGCGCATAAAAATATATCATAGTAAAAGCAAAATATCAATAGATCTTGAAAATATTCTTGATAAGAATATTATTGGTTATATACGCTACTGTGAATGACTGAAATAGGCAGTTGTTGACGTCCGGTGAATGGTGACAATCACATAGGCACTTTTGCAAATGTCCGAAATATATATACTAGGTCTAATTAAGTGCCACTTCCCAGTTTATCTTAAACTGATGTATTTTTAAGGTTCAATGCCACTGCCGGGTACACATTTGCCCGGTATACAGTACACTGATGTTTTTTTTTTAAGGTTCAGTGCCACTACTCGGTGTAAATTTGCCCAGCACTCTAAACACTGATGTTTATCCTAATCTATCCTCAGCAGATGCCAAAACATTGAATAAATATTGAAATATCAACGAATATTACAAGTATAGAATATTACAAATATTACAAGTATAGAAGAATAACAAGTATTTCGAATATTCACCAAAGCGACTTTGTGATTGTTGACATTTACCGGTGAAAGTCGACATTCTCTTGATTTCGGTCTTTCACGGTACATATCTACACATACAGAGGTTGGTCAGAATTACGGAAACACTTCTTAACTGTTGGCACAATCAGGCTTGAAGCTTTCATGCAAGACTTCATTTTTAATTCCTTTAAAATTCGATTCGACCAAAATGAGAGAAAGACGTTAAAAGCTTCTTTCCTTCTTCCATATCGCTATAATTAAAAAAGTATTGTTATACAAGCATTGAAAACCGTAACAATGATTTAAAAGTTGCTGGTATTTAAGCTAACAAGAAATTATTAACCTCTCTCCTGAATTCGGTGGATACGAAATTTGTCTGGCCAAATAAGCTAAATATAAGCATCTCTAAAAGCTTTAAGCATGATCATTCAAATTAAGCCAGCAGTTTTTAAATGCAAAAGTCTTTCAAAACATTTGCTGCAAAAAGAATGGTGATAGTTTTAATGAAGTTTGTATAGAAGTGTTTCCATATTTTTTCCCAACCCCTGGACTTAGGTATTTATAGTTATCTAAATAAAAGAAGTAACAAATAATCGGTAAATCTGCTTGATTAAATAAACAAAAGGAATATTTCAAAATAAAATAAATTATTAAATGCATAATTTTACGCAGATGAGATTTAAAATGAAAAACAGTAAAAAATATAAAATTACAAGGTATTTTTAGAGACAGGTATCAAGAGAATGTCAAGACTTAGGTATTTATAGTTATCTAAATAAAAGAAGTAACAAATAATCGGTAAATCTGCTTGATTAAATAAACAAAAGGAATATTTCAAAATAAAATAAATTATTAAATGCATAATTATACGCAGATGAGATTTAAAATGAAAAACAGTAAAAAATATAAAATTACAAGGTTACCAGCTTTTACTGTTTAATATTTTATAGTACGGCAGACATTTAAAACCAAAATCCATCACGATTATCTGTAACTTTCCCAACAACATTAAAACCTTCTCTGGAAGAATCTAGATACAATTAAAGTTTATATGAATTTTTGAATTATTTACATATAGTTGCGGGAAGGTAACATTAAATCAGGACAAAGAATCATAGATAAATATAAACTTTGATCATAAAAATATAAACTTAGATATAACACTTAAAGAAATTTTTCCATAAAGAGTACAAAATTGGCAAGCCTGAAATTAAACAGTGAGACCTTGGCTACTTCGGGCAAACTAAACACGCTTTAAAATTCATTTTTAAAAAAACATAACAGATGTATTGAGAATTCGAGAAAACTCTTCACATTGTTGGAATTTTAGGTATAAATTCAAACTTCACCATAACGAGTGGAAATGATTTCCTCCTGATTTTATCTTACATCACAAAGATTATCTATCAAAATAACTTATGTTTTTAAAATTATGTGTTTTAATGTTTACAAAGAAAAAAATGCAGAATAAATAACTCTTTTTTTCTGGACATTTGTAAATCTGATTAGAGTAAAATCGCAAATATACTTACTGCAAGAACTTTTTTAAGCTAACAAAAAGAAAGAAAGAAATTAAAGCAAAACAAAAAGAAATAAATTAGCGTAAATATAAAATTGTTCATTCCTAAGCTCTTATTTATCAGTAATAACTACATCACGATTGCTCAGAGGAAGAAACTGTACTTACCGTTAAGCAATGTGCCAACTGAAATAAAATTTAGTAGGAATATGAATGCTAAATTTAATAATATGCATGTAAAAGTAGAAGCAAAGTGGTGACTATTGTTTCGTTAACTTATTGAAAATTTTTGTGTTCGGAATTATGATAGCCGGTTTCAAAATTTTTATAGATTTTTTTCTTCCTTAATTCACAATTATATTTTACTGAATAATAATTATTAGAAGCAATTTGTTTCTTTAATATTTTTTCCAATTACTGGTCACCCTGTTCATTTCGCTTCTTAATGACAAATAATTTATTCGAAGTGTTATTAAGAAAAGTATTCAAATTATCTAAAGAAACATTAAAAAACATTCATGCATTCTCTAAAATACTGTTGTGTTGTTTATACACTGTCTTCAGTAGTCTATAAACAATATATTGATAGCTAAAATAGATTACATGAACATAATAAAGTTTATATAGTCTTTTTAAAGGTCGTCGAAGTTGGAAGACGTAGTTAATAATATGAACAATATTTTATTTGCTCTGACTTTTGTTAGAAAATTTCCCATCTTCCCTGATTTAGAAAATCATCGTAAGTTCTAAAAGTATTTTAATTAAATTTCTTCAAAATAGAATAGTCAGAAATGCTCAGTGTCTTGAAGTATGAATTTTTATGTAAAGCTACAGCATCGTAAACTACGCTAAACATTATTAAAGTAATTGGCTTGAGGGATACTGTGCAGCCAACAGTATAAAATTATTTTGCCGATTTCTGTATAGGTAACTTTGACTCTACAAATGACCCTTATGGTATTCGAGAATCAATAGTCAATAATGATGAATTAACCCTTTTAGCGGGCCCTTTATTTCTAGTAAAGGTAAATTAAAGCATTTTTGGAATTAAAATTGTTTTAAGAACAGTAATTGATATGAAAAAAAAAACTCATTTAGTTTATAAAAATGCCATTTTTATTGGTGGTAAATATATTTATAACATGACCTATTAGGAACTGACTGAGTTTTATTTTTCTTTATTTATATAATAAATTCCTTAAATGCTACAAACTTCAAAAGGATTTATGTATTCTATAACTTTTATACGTTTTTTAAAAGTGACAAATGGTTACCAATTTTATTCAAACTCACTTCAAGAAATCTGAAGTTATTGAAAAATGGAAACCTAAAATAAAAGTGGTAAAGCGTGGTGGTAAGTATACATACCACGGCCTTCAAATGGGTTAAAGGTCACTTTTAAGTCTGAATCTTCTCAGACCATCACAGCAGAAATATAATGAAACACACTGGATGAAACGATGCAAACAGTTAACGAAAACATTATAAATTGGTCAACAGATTGAATCATATCTGTATGCAAGGATAATAATTGGCCTTACTCTGCATAAGTAACTGTAGCCGGAATTTTTGAAAATAAATGGGAATGGGAGCGATTTTTCAATCCAGCGGCCTTTAACGACCCTCTCTCTAATTTGGAATTTTCTTAAATTAAAAAAAAACTTGATTTTGTTTTAGTTTAGTAAACAAATCGTATTATAATTGCTACGAACTATAGAAGAAAAAATAATAATAAATTATTCAAAAATAAAAGTGAGTCATTCAAGATCGCTGGATTGTAAATTAGCTAACTGCATGCAAAAAGTTAAGATTGCATAAAAATCGCAATGCGAAATTGTAGTACAACATTAATGTGATTTTCTTTAAAAAAAAATCTAGTAATATTTTGATTAAAAAATGAAACTGGAGATAAGCTGTTTTCACTGTCTGCTATTCTAATATTTAATATTTAACGGTATCGAATTCTATGTTAAAATATTAAAATATGTGGTAGATTTTCTTTAAAAAAATGTACCGACTTACTTAGAAAGTAACAACAAATGGAGATCAGAATTAAACAGTTATTCCTTGTTAGGCTGGATTGTTTTCTTTTAAATGACAAGGAAGAAAAATACTCTTTTAACNGGAAAAATTTTCTCATTTCTTATCGTTCCATCATACGTGATTTTAACTAAGAGTGTTAAAGGTGTAAGTTGCAAATCTTGAGAAGATAACTTTGGATATCATTTTTGATTATTCGATAATCTTACCAGGAAGATTATCGGATGACATGATGATGTATCGATTATACCCGTAGAGGGCGTTACTCGAATGATCAAAATACATAAATGTTGAAAATCGTGACTTTTGAGATTCGATAGAAGAGAGAATTGTTCAAATAATCTCCGAATTAGCGATGAAAAGCATACTTGAACTTCAAACTGCGATGTATACTTAGCTGCCGATTCTTTAGATTTTTTTTTTTTTGGAAGATCTTATTTTTATATTATAGTAAATGAGTTAATTTCTGAATATGATAAATTTAATATTTTTAACACTATTACATGCAAATATTTAAACTGTAAAGAATGAAAATTTTGTTCTGAGTAAAACAGCTGGCAACTTGCACGGTCGCTGGGAAAGATAACCCTAAGTGGTAATTTAATAATAATTAATCATGTAAAAGTAAATTTTTAAATTTAAAAAGGTAGAAAATAGTTTAATTCTTAATTTTATAAATTTGATTCAATATACTTTAACACCATGATATATACACATTTAAAGCGTATACAACGAAAACGACTTTAGCTGCACCTTTCATAGCTGCAAACTTGTAGTTGACCTCATAAACATAGCTGCAAACTTGCAGCTGACCTCATTAACATAGCAGCAAACTTGCATGGTCGTTGAGATATATAATGCAAAGTAACAGTAAAGTATTTTTCAAGCAAATGTATTTTGTCACATTTAAAAAGGCAGTAAAATAGTTACATTCTAAATATAATAGAATTGATTCAATATTTTTAACACTATTATACGCAAATATTTAAATTGTAAAGAATGATTTGTTATCAGTAAAACAGACGGCAACTTCCACTGTCGCTGGAAAATATAACCCTAAGTTATACTGTCATAATAATTGATAGTATAAAAGTAATGTTTCATACATTTTTTCAGAACAATTAAAGAACATTGTAAGACTTGCGTAAAATAACGGTGTAACGTAACAGTGTGTGACAACTGAGCTAAAAGCATCAATTCCTCGAGAGGTAATGCTAAAATGATGTTGTTTGAGAGACACACACGAGAAGTGATGGTCTTTTTTGTGTAGTTGAGAAAGAGAGTTTTTTTCTGAGAAGAGATATTTCTTTGAGTAATATTTTGTCATTTTTCGTGTGAATGTTTAAATAAATTGTTTGGTACAACTCACGTCTTATTTCTGGTTGTTGTGACACAACAACGGTATAACCAATTTTTTGTGTGTGCATAAAATGGAAGAAGAGAATCACAAAAACAAATTTTTCACATTTTCAAACATTGCAGTAAGCATATTTTGAGTTTGACGTCGAAGACGACGCTTTAGTGTCAGCGAATTTGATTTGGCTTTCAATTTTGTGTAGGACAAAGCCGAAAAGAATGATCGACATTCAGGAAGCGCGATGTTTCTTAACACTAGATTTACGGACGTTTCTTATATACCTATCTCTAGGGACACACGTCAATTTGACGTATGAAAGAATTGTGATTCTTAATTTAATAAATTCAATTTAGTAGATTTTTATCCACCACTATTTCTAAAAAATTCGTAGGCGTATATAATTCACCACTTCATATTTCATAATTTACTTTGTTGTTACTTGAAATTTTTTTAATTATTTTCGCGTGTCAGGAGCAGTTGGCATCTCTGCACTTAGAAACCAATGTATATGTATACTATAAGAAAAAAAATGAAGATATGAGATATATATTTATGAAATATTCTAGTATTTTATGTTTCAATACTCGAACTAAGCAACTGAAACCTTCAAAATCTGACACTCTGACATCAATTGACATTCTGCGTTTGTTCTTTCTATTATTGCTTATCGGCAACAGTTGTTTATCACTTGTTTTATTTGAGATAACGAATCGAAGTATTGTCGGTACATTCCTATTTATTATTGATGTGATAATTGCTTGTTTACNAGTTGGGCTCAAAATCGACAGAATATAGGTCCCATAAGGACATGCACCTAGGGACCAATATTGGGATGTCTAGAATTTTTAATATTGGTCCTATTTAAGGGCAATATCGACCTATATACAACCAATATAGAGCTTATATTGACTGAATTATGATTGTAAAATATCCGATGAATATGATAATTCTATATAAGGCTAATATCGGAAAACAACGACCATTAAAACCTTATTTAGCCAAGATTCGTGAATATTGGTCCAATGAGGACCCAAATTATTTTGCTACTAGGGTATTTTAAATCAGAACTGTGGTCGGTGTGAACTGGAAGCAGAATTCGAGCCATCTCTGAGATTCGAAATCTTTGGAAGGTGTGTGCCTTTTCCCCCGATCTCAGTCGCTTTACAACAAATAACCTGGGTGGAAATAACTATTTAAGAAAAGGATAATGGTCCATAACACAGGCTCAAAAGATCCACATGTATCTACAGGCTTAGTGCTCCGATTTGATTAGATAAGTCAATCAACTGCATGCCCGGGTGCTCATCTGGATCCGAGGCATCTCTTCAACTGTGTCTCTGTTGCCTCGACCCTCTTCAACATCGACCTCAACTGTTGCCATGACACCCTTTATTCCGAAAAAGTCGGAGATGTGGCCAGGGCTGTACTCCATGCCTTTGGTCCCATTTAAGTTGTATTTTTCTGCACTTGTTAAACGACAACATTAAATTAGCAAGATTTTCTAGACCCTAACTAAAACATTTCGTTTAAAATTCGATGCTGTTTCAGTGACAGTGCGATATTGAAACAATTAAACAGAAAACAAGCTGCATGCTAAAAACGCATGAACCAAACCATACTAAGGATTTGTATTAAGAAAAAACGCCGTGTAGAACTGTGAAGCTATTTAATTTTATTTTATTACCGTAGTTAAACAGCCGGCCAACTTAAGGGTTTTTCGACTACTAATGTTCAACTCCGTAGCATTGTAATTTTGAACCCAATCCAGAAGACAAGGAAACTCTTGGATAAAGTACTGGGAGTATCGGATCAAGTATCGGGATCTATTTAAAAGATATATAAAGTTTAATCTGTAACAATGGATTTCAGCAATGAAACTTTATTATTTTTTTCGATATCAAACTACATAGCGCTGAATAGTGGTGACTGTTTACAAACCACCTCATGAAAATTTGCAATCTTTAGGGGGAGAAAAACGATCCAAATCGACACCACCGAACTCGAGTCAGTAGCAAGTATCCATACTGATAGACTTTCGCTTTCATATGCACTCATGTCCATAAATTAAGAATAATGCCAAAAGCCAGAAAATAATGGTTCACAAACAAAACAAACGTGACTCATTCATAAAACCCATTTATAAAGCAAAAAATAAGGATAGAAAACATCGTGTATGTTTGTCACATAATAACTACTATTCATTAAGACTACGATTTTTGTTCTCTGGAAAAATGATAAAAAAAATATTTCTTCAACAAAAATTAATTAATTATTATTCAAAACGTATCTCAACCAAACTCTGTTGGCGTCATGGATGTCAACCATACGGAACTAAGGCTCCTATACTATCAGAGCTGACCTATCAAGCAATATTGGAGCAAACAAGTTCGCAAGTTAACGTTATTTTACTATTCGTCATGTTATTACAGAGATGCCAACTACTGCGGACACGCCAAAATAATTTAAAAAACGGTTAATTACTACAAAGTAAATTTTGCAAATAGTTGATAATATTTGCTTACTTTTAAAAAAGCAAAGCATGTATTAAGTACTAAAAAGTGGTGAATTATATAAGCCAACGCATTGTTTAAAAATAGTGGTGGATTAAAATCTACTAAATTGAATTTATTAAACCAAGAATTACAATTAATAAACTACCACTTGAAAATATTTATTCGCTGTGCTTATGTTAGCTCTTTGCTCCAACAATAAATGATAAGTCGGCCTGTCTAATACAGGGGCTCTATACGGAACGTTTCTGAACAATGCGCAGCGGTAAACTGAAACTCGTGATTCCTTCTGAAAAACCATAAAGGCCCAGAAACAGCATCGACCAGAAAACAGCGTTGCTGTCACATTTGTGGCAGCAACGCTACATTTGTGCTGTCACATCTGTCTTATTTCCAGACCAATATACTTGTAAGAGGAAGCCTAACCACCTATCAACTTATGTATCTTATGAAATTATGTTACTACTGTTTCATTCCTTCTGATGTTGTTGGAAGATTATTTCATTTATGTTATAACAATATGTGTTCTTACAAAATTTCATTGTAGTTGTTGTGTAGATAATGGGATACTTAAAAGTGACGTAGTGTGGGTGTCTCGATCCTGATTAGTTGTTGATGCGAGGCATTTGCTTACGTTAGAAACTGTTCTTTCCATTCTATTTCAAGAAAGCCAAGCATCAATTCTCTTAAGTGATATAATCTATGTTCTATCACAAATATTTTTTCACAAAGATTTCAATTCTTTCACCACATATTTCTTAACACAAAAACAGGCTCAAAGGCATGTCGAACAGAAACAAACTAATTATGCATTTAAAGTTGCCAGGTACAAAAACAAAAATTTTAGCACGGTTTCGATAAATTACATTAACAAATAATAAATCTAAGTTAAGGGAAAAGCGAAAATGAGAAAGAATTATATTTCTACATATTCGAGGTGCGATATGGTGCTGTATTTCACATTAGTTAACATTCTAACTTATGTGCAAAAACTTAGCTCAACTTCAACATGTCATTTTGCTTATGACTGTCTTAGGTCACATGGGTGGGTATCCGAGATCTTGTTCTTTTTGAAGTGCAAGTACCCAATTGACCAAATCAGAAGATTTTCTTAATTTCGGTGCATAACTGAGTTGCTATTTTCCTGGTATTTCTTAATTAAATTCGAAATATAATGTTACTTAAATATTCGAAGTTCAAAAAAAGGCAATAACTGAAATTCCGAACATGACTTCCTGACTTCAAGAATTTTTATTGATTATATGAAGATACAAAAGTAAAAATTATTTAAACATAGTACGCGAAATTAAATTATTATAAATTAAGCTAATGGTTGAAAAAACACACTTGCGAGTAAAAAGGGTTTTTTAATAAATTTTATTTTGAAGCAAGCTGCACTTGGAGTACAATTTGTTTCAATGGTTTTTATAGTACAACTTACAAAAATATGAACTAAAAACTCATTTATCATTGTAAGTTAAGATTTCGATTCTTGCATTATTTAAAAAATGAATTCCACCTCTCTAAATAACCATCTGTAAAAGAAATTATAATTAATTTATACAAAAGCAGTTTCAGTATAAATTCCAAATTTTAAAATAAATTTGAATTGAATGTCTCACTGTAACGCCATAATAAGCCACATTTTTTATTAATTGAAATAACAATAATAAAATAAACAGCAACGGAACTTGATCACCATGAAAGTTGAACAAACTTTACTAACGTCTCTTGCATTTACAAATAATAGCGAATATTAAAATGAGTTTTTATTTGCTAATGCGTATAAAAATATATCATAGTAAAAGCAAAATATCAATAGATCTTGAAAACATTCCTGATAAGAATATTATCGGGTTATATATATTACTGTGAATGACTGAAATAGGTAGTTGTTGACGCCCGGTGAATGGAGACAATCACAAAGGCACTTTCGCAAATGTCCGAAATATATACTACATACCTGCCAACTTTCACTCTTTCCGAAAATGGATTTTCAGAGTGGTTGTAAAACAGTAAACGAAAAACAATCTGACTCAAAAATATATTTATGTTTTGATCCCGTTGAAATGCGCTTGCTCAAGAATTATTATGCTTTTATATATTTATTGTAATTATTTATATGTAGTGGTGGTTAAACTCATTTATAATTATCATTATAATTCAAAAGGTTAATTGGAATAACCTGAGTATTGCTACCACTTTAAATATGAAAATAAAATCTTCCGGAAAATCCGGCAGAGTTGGCAGGTGTGATACTAGGTCTAATTAAGTGTCCCTGCCAGATTTATCATAAACAGGTGTTTCTTTTAAGATTCAATGCCACTGCCGGGTACACATTTACCCTGTATACAGTAACAGTACACTGATGTTTTTTTTTAAGGTTCAGTGCTACTACTCTGTATAAATTTGCCCAGTACTCTAAACACTGATGTTTCTCCTAATCTATGCTCAGCAGATGTTCAAATATTGAATAAATATTGAAATATCATCGAATATTTAAATATGACAAATATTTCGGACATTCACCAAAGCGACTTTGTGATTGTTGACATTTACCGGTGAAAGTCGACATTCTCTTGATTTAGGTCTTTCACAGTACATATCTACACATACAGAGGTTGGTCAGAATTACGGAAACACTTCTTAACTGTTGGCACAATTTGTAAAATCATGCTTGAAGTTTCTATGCAAGACTTCATTTTTTATTCCTTCAAAATTCGCTTCGACCAAAATGAGAAAAAGACGTTAAAAGCTTCTTTCCTTTTTCCATACCTCTATAATTAAAAAAGTATTGTTATACAACTATTGAAAACCGCCGGAACAAAGATTTAAAAGTTGCTGGTATTTAAGCTAGAAAGAAATTATTAACCTCTCTCCTGAATTTGGTCGATACGAATTTATTCTGGCCAAATATGGCATCATCTCTAAAAGCTTTGAGCGTGATCATTCAAATTAAGCCAACAGTTTTTCCATGCAAAAATCTTTCAAAACATTTGCTGCAAAAAGAATGGTGATAGTTTATATGAAGTTTTTACAGAAGTGTTTCCATATTTTCCCCCAACCCCTACTTAGGTATTTATAGTTATCTAAATAAAAGAAGTAACAAATAATCGGTAAATCTGCTTGATTAAATAAACAAAAGGAATATTTCAAAATAAAATAAATTATTAAATTAATAATTATACGCAGATGAGATTTAAAATGAAAAGCAGTAAAAAATATAAAATTACAAGGTTACCAGCTTTTACTGCTTAATATTTTATAGTATGGCAGACATTTAAAACCAAAATCCATCACGATTATCTGTAACTTTCCCAGCAACATTAAAACCTTCTCTGGAAGAATCTAGATACATTTAAAGTTTATATGAATTTTTGTATTATTTACATATAGTTGCGGGAAGGTGACATTAAATCAGGACAAAGTATCATAGATAAATATAAACTTAGATCATAAAAATATAAACTTAGATATAACACTTAAAGAAATTTTTCCATAAAGAGTACAAAATTGGCAAGCCTAAAATTAATCAGTGAGACCTTGGCTACTTCGGGCAAACTAAACACGCTTTAAAATTCATTTTTAAGAAACACAACAGATGTAATGAGAATTCGAGAAAACTCTTCACATTGTTGGAATTTTGGGTATAAATTCAAACTTCACCCCACTTCACCATAACGAGTGGAAATGATTTTCCCCTGATTTGATTTTACATCTCATAGATTATCTATCAAAATAACTTATGTTTTTAAAATTATGTGTTTTAATGTTTACAAAGAAAAAAAATGCAGAATAAATAACTCTTTTTTTTCTGGACATTTGTAAATCTGATTAGAGTAAAATCGCAAATATACTTACTGTAAGAACATTTTTAAGCTAACAAGAAAAAAAAGAAAAAAAAAATTAAAGCAAAACGAAAAGAAATAAATTAGCGTAAATATAAAATTGGTCATTCCTAAGCTTTTATTTATCAGTAATAACTGCATCACGATAGCTCAGAGGAAGACACTGAACTGTCTTAGTGAAGAAATGGAGTTCGATCTCTGATGGAAACTTGAAAACCACCCATCTTCTGTTCTGTTGCGCAATTCTAACAATATCACCCCAATCATGCCCATGACCTTTTATTTTTCCTGTTGGAGTCTTAACTTCATGGCTCCCCCATCACCTCCTACATCAAGAAGACTCCACACAGTCTTTTATAAGTAGTCCGCGCAGACTGTTTAAAAAGTGAACCAGTTGTGCGCATGAACCCAAAACCTTTTATAAAAGTAATCGAGAGAAATTCACCTTATATATTTGAGAATTGAATCTGTAGTGGTTGACAAGTGAATTAGGCAAACCAGTATTATTCATATATAAAATAAATTTTTAGTCATATATTTACTACCACTTTCTTATTTTAACTATATTCTGTATTAAATGACTCGTTCAGTACAAATCACGTTATTCTAACTCAATTCAATGCTAAAATGTCAATTGTATTTGTGTATATCTTGATTCTATTCATATCTATATCAAAACTTATGACTGCATCAAATTTAAACTCCATTCAATGCTAAAATTTCAATTGTACTTTTTATATTTTAAATTAATTCACTTTTAAAACACAACTTATGATTACATCAAATTTAATCCCATTCAATACTTCAATATCAATTGTGCTTTTTATATTCATGAAAATTTCTGATTATTTTATAAATCATGACTCATATTAAATATCAATTCATGTTGAATTTATCAAGCAAATTTGCTTGATCTTCTGTTTTGCTACCTTAATGCTGCATAATTCAAAATATTTTTAATTCAACTTGTAAATACTTCATGATGGATGGGTTAGGGGCCGCTGCGCGGCCCACGCACCCAATTTTGGATTAATAAAGTGAAAGTGAAAAGTGGATATCCTTCGCAGTGATCTGATCTGATCGGACTACCAATGGAAAACCGTGTGGAGGCTTTTAGTTACAGGAGGCTTTGGCTTCCCTGACTGTTACAAAAATATATTTCTTTTAACATTATGTCGTTCATTCAGACATGACATTGTCATGAGCTATATTAAATCTCTTTTTTCCTATATAATGTTCGAACATTCTTCGGGTTCAAACATTTAACTCCGATATAATATTTGAATTTTTTTCAACTCCTATATAGTGTTCAAGCATCCTTCGACTCGCATATAATGTTCAAACATTCTTCAATTACTATATAATGTTCGAAAATTCAGGGACTTCTGTATAATGTTCGAACATTCTTTGACTCCTATATAATGTTCCTAGATTCGTCGGCTCCTATATAAGTTTGAACTTTCTTCGACTCCTAAATAATGTTCGAACTTTCTTCGATTCCTATAAAAGGTTCTTGGCTATTTACTGATGACTGTCAGCCATTCTTCGCTGAGAATGCTTCGAATCGGACCAAGGGTATCCTCATAGTAACCGTTAATAATACTGTTTCAGTTTATTGTATATTAATCTCAGGTCTGGGTTATTAACCCCTTGGGGACGGGTGATTCAGAAATGCATTCGTACAAAATCAGAATCAAGTTGCAATTAAATAAAAAACGGTAACTTAAATGTAGTCGTTACTAATTTGACAGACTTACTTTGCTTTTATTTTAATTATTGTTAGTTTAATAATATATATAATCAATGTTAATTCAAAGCATAACTAAATAGTTTTATTTTGAACAAAGTAATGGTGAATTAAATAAATCAAACAATTATAACTCCGCCCACAAATAAACTGCTAAAGAAATACTTTGATTACCAGTTTTATCTTTTCACCCTGATTGATACGGTTTTTTGCTGTCACGTATTTGTGACAGTCGGCGCGAAAGGGTTAAGGCTGTTGTTTGATTACTTGTCATTGCACGAAACATTACATTTTTTACAAATAATATGCTGCTTCCATTAATGCTCAGGGATTTAAAGAGTTACTCATGATTGTTAGGTTCAAATTAGTTTATCCTTCGTCAGCACCCTCTACTCTAATTTTGAAAATGGTTCAAGACGTCATTCGGAAGAAAAACCATGATTTGCAGAAATTCAAAGCTTTTATGATCAAATTTTTTAAAACATAAAATTGCATGCCAACGCTGCCTTATCTGTGACAATGAAAAATTACAAATATTTAGAATACTGATTTTGGCAATCTTCTTCTAGTTGGAAAAATCTCGCCTAATTGGCGATATTTTTTTTTTAAAAAAAAAAGCTTTAAAGTAAATAAGTAATTTGCTCTTCCTAAATCCCAAATAAATCCTTATGATAAGACGATATATACAATTTGAAATTTAAACTTTGTACCTTAAATGTAAAGCATGTAAATTGTGATTTTTTATAATACTTTTCTTTTTTAGTATTACTTATCTGGCTATTTTTTCGCGAAAGAGTTCCAAAAATTTCCGTTAAGTGGTCTCGACGAGGTGGGAAAATTGGAATTGGATGGCCCACGTGATTCGAATGAGTGATGACAATACAATTAAAAAGATACTGCTTTTTAGACCCACTGGAACAAGAAAGCGGGGAAAGCAGCTGTTGAGATGGGCTGACTCAGTGGAGTCTGAATTTCTCGCAATTAATGAAAAGAATTGGAGATAAAAGATAAATCGAAAGTTGTCGTAGAGAAATCTTCAGAGGAAGGAATTGGCTCACATTGGTCTGTTGAAACACTGTTTGGTCAACTATAATGATAATGATGGTCTCGTCGGACGAAAAGAGAGATTCTACTTCCTCCATGTTACCTCACGAAGAATTGTTTCCTTACGTAATTAGAAATTAAATAATATTTCAAAATACCTTATTGTCAAATGTGACAGTTGAAATATAAATTTTTCAAGAGATTTAAAACAAGTTTTCCTTAAGTCTTACGAAGTTGAGGAATTTTCTTCTATTTATCTTTTAGAATTTTTGAAGCTAAAGTTTCAAATTAGGAATGGTTTATAGTTTAGTTAAACCCTGAAAACTATAGTTTTCAGGATTTACCTCGGTTCTAAACATTCTTTTTATTGCATTTATATTTCAGGACTTTCTAAGTCCGACAAAGACGAGGCATTCATTTCTGAGCTATGCCTGGTGTTTAACACTAGGTTTACGGGACGCGCCATTTTGACGCATTTCGAATTTTATAAGGAAAATTGCAAAACCCGTTTGTATTTTTATTTTATCTCCTGTAATGACTTTTATCCATTGATCGTGGTAAATATACATTGAAGTCTATTTTCTTCAAAAGCGTTAAGATATTGAAATTCTCTTTGCGGTATACCTATCTCCATCTATACGCCAACTTGACGCGATCGTTATTTAGACAAAATTGTGAGTAAACATGAAAACATCACATCAATAATAAATAGGAATGTACCAACAATACTTCGACCCGTTATCCGATATCGTTATCTCAAATGAAACAAGCGATAAGCAACTGTTGCCGATAAGCAATAATAGAAAGAACAAACGCAGAATGTCAAGATACCTTAGAGTAGGCATAAAAACCATTTATTTGGTTCAATTTACTTTTCAATTTTGTATTTTTTTACTGAATGAGTAGTAACAACTATCACTTTGAAAACCAAAATTTTCGGTAAACCGTTACCAAAACATAAAATTTACCAAATTAATGATTAAAATACCGTATATATAATTTTTTTTCAACTAAAATTATGTTGTTGGTCCTTTTACCAGAAATGTCATTACTATGCGGAAAGGTAATTTTACCAGAATTTTTTCTCGGTGCACAAATTCATTACAATGCCATTCAAGCATGTCCTTTAACTCCACTATAAACACATTTTTCTTATTTTTTTTATAAGCCGATTAACAGAGATAGTGGAAAAGAACTATTATGCGATGAAAATAATCTACAATTTGAAAGATTTATTCAGCCTGAAATTTTAATAATGTTTAAATTATTCTAATTGAAGTCATCCCTCAAATACCGCGAAACAGATTACCAAAGAATCAAAAAAGAATATCAAATTGATATTTAGTTCCGAGTCTTTTTAATTTTATTTGCCTCAAATCTATTTCGAATAAAATTTAAAGAGGAATAATATAAGAAATGCAGGTAACAGCTTTAATAAAATATTTAAATATGCGTTTAGAATAAATAAAAAAATGCAACTTGCTGAAAATACCTTTTTATTTCAGGTAATCAGTAATTGAACTGATTTTATTAATGAGTTTTAACTTTACTCGATCAGATAGAATTAATTAAGGGAAATCAATTTACTAATTAATATAAAACCAAGCGTGAAAGTTTGCAGAAATTTATTGATATTTTAATTAATAATTAAAATGCTTTTGATTACTTTTCCGTGAGCATTTTAATCATGTTCTATGAATTAAATAGGATTTAAATTTTTTGTATTTATATAAAATAAAAGGAAAAACAATAAAACAAAGAACAAGATTAATTTTAAAAATGCGGTTTAAACCAACCATATGTGGCGCAATGAATCGATTGATAATATGTCTTCCGTCAAAAGTTCCATGCATATATTATTTGGGTCTTTTTTTTTATTGTTTAAAAAGTATTGTAGTAGCATGCTGATTTTTACACCATTTTAGTATAAAATGACAAAATTTAAAATTCGAATCACATTGGTCGAATAGTTCTCTTGAAATTAAGATTTGAAAATAGAAATGGAAAAATTTGGAATTTCAGCGCTCAGCTAATCGATTGAAATTTTGGATTTTCTCCATAAATTATTCATTAGTAGCAATTTATTAGTAGAGATCCAGTTAAAGAAATCTAGAACATGATGTAAATATTTCTCTGTTATGCAATATAGAATATTTCAATTATTAATATACCAAATAATAAATATAATAAAATCGCTCTATATATTAAAAAATCGTGAGTACCGCTCACGCCAACTCCGCTGTTTGGGGTGCTCAACTTAACGTTGTATTAGTGTGCAAACACTATTAGACTTAGAAGTATTACTGAAATGAGGTGAACCGGGCTCGAATCCCAGCGATGGCTGGTCGATACGATTCCGCATACGGCTTGCACCCACCACAGTGCTGACGTTAAATATCCGCTGCAGATCATGNATTATTATGCTTTTATATATTTATTGTAATTATTTATATGTAGTGGTGGTTAAACTCATTTATAATTATCATTATAATTCAAAAGGTTAATTGGAATAACCTGAGTATTGCTACCACTTTAAATATGAAAATAAAATCTTCCGGAAAATCCGGCAGAGTTGGCAGGTATGATACTAGGTCTAATTAAGTGTCCCTGCCAGATTTATCATAAACTGGTGTTTCTTTTAAGATTCAATGCCACTGCCGGGTACACATTTGCCCTGTATACAGTACACTGATGTTTTTTTTTAAGGTTCAGTGCCACTACTCTGTATAAATTTGCCCAGTACTCTAAACACTGATGTTTCTCCTAATCTATGCTCAGCAGATGTTCAAATATTGAATAAATATTGAAATATCATCGAATATTTAAATATGACAAATATTTCGGACATTCACCAAAGCGACTTTGTGATTGTTGACATTTACCGGTGAAAGTCGACATTCTCTTGATTTCGGTCTTTCACGGTACATATCTACACATACAGAGGTTGGTCAGAATTACGGAAACACTTCTTAACTGTTGGCACAATTTGTAAAATCATGCTTGAAGCTTTTATGTAAGACTTCATTTTTTATTCCTTTAAAATTCGCTTCGACCAAAATGGGAGAAAGACGTTAAAAGCTTCTTTCCTTCTTCCATACCGCTATAATTAAAAAAGTATTGTTATACAAGTATTGAAATCCGGAACAATGATTTAAAAATTGCTGGTATTTAAGCTAGCAAGAAATTATTAAACTCTCTCCTGAATTTGGTCGATCAAATTTGTCTGGCCAAATATGGCATCATCTCTAAAAGCTTTGAGCATGATCATTCAAATTTAGACAACAGTTTTTCCATGCAAAAACCTTTCAAAACATTTGCTACAAAAAGAATGGTGATTGTTTATATCAAGTTTGTATAGAAGTGTTTCCTTATTTTTCCCCAACCACTGTACTTAGGTATTTATAGTTATCTAAATAAAAGAAATAACAAATAATCGGTAAATCTGCTTGATTAAATAAACAAAAGGAATATTTTAAAATAAAATAAATTATTAAATTCATAATTATGCGCAGATGAGATTTAAAACGAAAAACAGTAAAAAATATAAAATTACAAGGTTACCAACTTTTACTGCTTAATATTTTATAGTAGAGCAGACATTTAAAACCGAAATCTTTCGCGATTATCTGTAAATTTCCCTACAACATAAAAACCTTCTCTGGAAGAATCTAGAAACAATTAAAGTTTATGAATTTTTGAATTATTTACATATAGTTGGTGGAAGGTAACATTAAATCTAATTTACAAGACGAAGAATCATAGATAAATATAAACTTAGATCATAAAAATATAAACTTAGATATAACACTTGAAGAAATTTTTCCATAAAGAGTACAAAATTGGCAAGCCTGAAATTAAACAGTGAGACCTTGACTACTTCGGGCAAACTAAACACGCTTTAAAATTCATTTTTAAGAAACACAACAGATGTATCGAGAATTCCAGAAAACTCTTCACATTGTTCAAATTTTGGGCATAAATTCAAACTTCACCCCACTTCACCATAACGAGTGGAAATGATTTCGCCCAGATTTCATTTTACATCGCATAGATTATCTATCAAAATAACTTATTTATGTTTTTAAAATTATGTGTTTTAAAGTTTGCAGCAAAAATTACAGAATAAATAACTCTTCTTTTTTTTCTGGACATTTGTAATTCTCATTAGAGTAAAATCGCAAATATACTTACTGCAAGAACATTTTTAAGCTAACAAAAAAAAAACAAAATTAAAACAAAACAAAAAGAAATAAATTAGCGTAAAGATAAAATTGTTCATTCCTAAGCTTTTATTAATCAGTAATAACTACATCACGATAGCTCGGAGGAGGATATTGAAGTCTTAGTGAAGAAATGGAGTTCGATCACTGATGGAAGCTTGAAAACCACCCATCTTCTGTTCTGTTGCGCAATGCTAACAATATCACCACCATCTTGCCCATTACCATTTTTTTTCCCTGTTGGAGCCTTAACTTCATGGCTCCCCCATCAGCTCCTACATCAAGAAGCCTCCACACGGTCTTTTATAAGTAGTCCGCGAAGACTGTTTAAAAAATGAACCAGTTGTGCGCATGAACCCAAAACCTTTTATAAAAGTAATTGAGAGAAATTTATCTCATATATTTGAGAACTGAATCTGTAGTGGTTGACAAGTGAATAAGGCAAACCAGTATTATTCATAAACAAAATAAATTTTTAGTCATATATTTACTACCACTTTCTTATTTTAACTAGATTCTGTATTAAATGACTCGTTCAGTACGTGGATATCCTTCACAGTGGTCTGTTCGGAATATCTATGAAAAACCGTGTGGAGGCTTTCAGTTGTAGGAGGCGTTGGCTCCTCTGACTGTTACAGATATATATTTCTTTTAACACTATGTCGTTCATTCAGACATGACATTGCCATAAACTATATTAAATCTCCTTTTTCCTATATAATGTTCGAACATTCTTCGGGTTCAAACATTTAACTCCTATATAATGTTTGAATTTTTTTCAACTCCTTTATAATGTTCAAATATTCTTCGACTCGCATATAATGTTCAAACATTCTTCAATTACTATATAATGTTCGAAAATTCAGGGACTTCTGTATAATGTTCGAACATTCTTTGACTCCTATATAATGTTCCTAGATTCGTCGGCTCCTATATAAGTTTGAACTTTCTTCGACTCCTAAATAATGTTCGAACTTTCTTCGATTCCTATAAAAGGTTCTTTGGCTATTTACTGATGACTGTCAGCCATTCTTCGCCGAGAATGCTTTGAATCGGACCAAGGGTATCCTCATAGTAATCATTAATAATATTGTTTCACTTTATTGTATATTAATCTCAGATCTGGGTTATTAAGGCTGTTGTTTGAAGACTTGTCATTGCACGAAACATTACATTCTTTACAAATAATATGCTGCTTCCATTAATGCTCAGGGATTTAAAGAGTTACTCATGATTGTTAGGTTCAAATTAGTTTATCCTTCGTCAGCGCCCTATACTCTAATTTCGAAAATGGTTCAAGACGTCATTCGGAAGAAAAACCATGATTTGCAGAAATTTAAAGCCTTTATGATCAAATGCCAACGCTGCCTTATCTGTGATAATGAAAAATTGCAAATATTTAGAATACTGATTTTGGCAATCTTCTTCTAGTTGGAAAAATCTCGCCTAATTGGCGATATTTTTTTTTTTAAAAAAAAAGCTTTAAAGTAAATAAGTAATTTGCTCTTCCTAAATCCCAAATAAATCCTTATGATAAGACGATATATACAATTTGAAATTTAAACTTTGTACCTTAAGTGTAAAGCATATGAATTGTGATTTTTTATAATACTTTTCATTTTTGGTATTACTTATCTGGCTTCTTTTTCGCGAAAGAGTTCCAAAAAATTCCGTTCAGTGGTCACGACGAGGTGGGAAAATTGGAATTGGATGACCCAAGTGATTCGAATGAGTGATGACAATACAATTTAAAAGATACTGCTTTTTAGACCCACTGGAACAGGAAAGCGGGGAAAGCCGCTGATGAGATGGGCTGACTCAGTAGAGTCTGATTTTCTAGCTATTAATGAAAAGAATTGAAGATCAAAGATGAATCGAAAGTCGTCGTGGAGAAATCTTCAGAGGAAGGCATTGGCTCACACTGGGCTGTTTGGTCAACTATAATGATAATGATGATGATGGTCTCGTCGTACGAAAAGAGAGATTCTACTTCCTTCATGTTACCTCACGAAGAATTGTTTCCTTACATATTTAGAAATTAAATAATATTTCAAAATACCTTATTATTAAATGTGAAAGTTGAAATATAAATTTTTCAAGAGATTTAAAACAAGTTTTCCTTAAGTCTTACGAAGTTGAGGAATTTTCTTCTATTTATCTTTTAGAATTTTTGAAGCTATAGTTTCAAATTAGGAATGGTTTATAGTTTAGTTGAACCCTGAAAACTATAGTTTTCAGGATTTGCCTCAGTTCTAAACTTTCTTTTTATTGCATTTATAATTCAGGACTTTCTAAGTCCGACAAAGACGAGGCATTCACTTCTGAGCTATGCCTGGAGTTTAACACTAGGTTTACGGGACGCGCCATTTTGACGCATTTCGAATTTTATAAGGAAAATTGCAAAACCCGTTTGTATTTTTATTTTATCTCCTGTAATGACTTTTATCCATTGATCGTGGTAAATATACATTGAAGTCTATTTTCTTCAAAAGCGTTAAGATATTGAAATTCTCTTTGCGGTATACCTATCTCCATCTATACGCCAACTTGACGCGATCGTTATTTAGACAAAATTGTGAGTAAACATGAAAACATCACATCAATAATAAATAGGAATGTACCAACAATACTTCGACCCGTTATCCGATATCGTTATCTCAAATGAAACAAGCGATAAGCAACTGTTGCCGATAAGCAATAATAGAAAGAACAAACGCAGAATGTCAATTGATGTCAGAGTGTCAAATTTTGAAGGTTTCAGTTGCTTAGTTCGAGTATTGAAAAATAAAATACTAGAATATTTCTTAAATACTATATAAAAGAACTATAGAAAGATATGTCTATAAAAGAACTCCGGGGTTTTGGGGCAAAATATTTTAATGAAATAAAAAACAAACATACATGTTTTATACATGACTGAAAAGCTTACATTTTCAAATTTTTTAACACTTAGTAAAGTTCTATATGAGCCCCGTTAGTGGCACGGCAGACGTCTAAACGGTGTTCTACCTTTTCCCATGTCCTGGCGAGCATGTCTGGGGGGACGGTTGCCACACAATTGACTATTCGTTCCCTGAGATGTTGAACATCACGAATTTTCTCTGCACTTTGTACGGTAACTAAATACTTCGTTTCNGGGATCCTTGGAGGCCATGGAATAGGTCCCTCCCTTCCGATCCACCTGTTGCCGAGCATAGCGTCCAATGCCTCACGCACATGTAAACAAAAGTCCCAATTGGTATGAGTAAAACTTTTTGAGCTACTCTTTTCAGAGAAATCGACCAAATTTTGCTATCTTTTATAGTTAGTGAGATAGGAATTTTTAAAACCCCGGAGTTCTTTTATAGACACCCTGTATATATCTCATACTTTCATTTCTTATAGTTTATAATTGCTTTCTAAGTGCTGAGATGTCAACTGCTCCGGTCAAGATAAGATAATTAAAAAAAAACAAAACGGTGCATAACTACTAAGTAAAATTTGCAAATATAAAGTGGTGAATAAGGCTACGAATCTTATTATATAAAACGCTAATACGTACGTATGTATGTATTGAGGCGACGTGACATCACACATCATATTCTGCATTAATTGTTTTTATAATTATTTAATAACTTTAAGTTTGTTTTAACTACAACTTTAATTCCTACTTTTTAGAATTGCTTTTTAATGTTGTTCTATTATTATATCTTTTCTTATTCGCATCTTAAATATTTGATGCCGCATTTAAACTAAACGAATTATGTATAAATTGTAAATAAATGTAAATATTAATTATTTAAAGTGTTTATTCTTCAAACCATTCATTACGCTTCACTGGTGACTTTCGGACGTGATTTTGATAACTCAATTGCAACCTTCGAAAAAGCTATGCCTAATANATAAGTACAATACTATGTCTTTGATGATAAAATACTATGTCTTTGATGATAATATATTATGTCTTTGTGCTAGAACATTGTGTTCATTGGCGAGCGAGCGCAGCGAGCCATGGTTCACGGCGTGAACCACATAGGATTGCGTAGCAATTCTCGGGGGTTGGCGAGCGTTAGCGAGCAGGGGGATTGAGCATCCTAGTTATTTAGAAATAGTGGTGGATAAAAATCTACTAGATTGAATTTATTAAACTAAGAATCACAATTGATGAACTACCACTTTAAAATGTATATTTGCTGTCGGGAGCAAGTTGGCATCTCTGTAATGTATTCGTTCATGCGTCAATTTGACGCGTGTTCTTAGAGATAGGTATATAAGAAACGTCCATAAACCTAGTGTTAAAGACTAGTGTTCATGCATCTTTTAACTCTTATAAAGTCGGGGCATTTAATTTTTGTGATTATTTATGTAGAGGCTTCAAATCATATTCATGATTTGTCCAAGTTCAGGAGTTTCAACATAAATTTTCATGGTTTTGTTATTAGCTTTTTCGATGTAAATGTTACCGTTAAAGTGCTGATTCAGTTTTTTCTTAGAATAAGTAGGTATTTCAAGAAATAACTGGAGAAATCAGTTAAATCATCACCTCCTACATCAGATAACCTCCACACGGTCTTTTTAGAAGTAGCTTGCGCAGCCTTTTCAAAAAGTGAACCAGTCGTGCGCATGAATCCAAATTCTTTTTTAAAATTAATCGAGAGAAATTTATGATACATATTTGATAATTGAATCTGTAGTGGTTGACAAGTGAATGAGACAAACCTATCATATTCATAAATAAAACTAACTTTAAGACATATATTTGCTACCACTTTCTTATTTTTACTATATTTTGCATTAAATGGCTCTTTCATGAGCTGGTTTACCTATATAAGGGACTAATCAGACAACTTATTAGAAACCGCGTGGAGGCATTTCTTACTTTAACTAGTTATTCTATGATATAACTCATTATAGACCGTTAAAATGGAAAAAAAGACAATTTCACAGTTATTTTATAAATTAATTGATTATAAATAGCTGAAATATTTCTCGAAAAATACATTTTATCCCCATTGCGAAAGATTAATTGATAAATAAGAAGGAAAAGCAGATGATGTAATTTATTATTGATCATATTAATAACAACGTCTAAAAGCAACGGAATAAAGCATACACACGTCATTGCAAAGCAGCAATAAACGGTTTAAAACGGACTAAAGATAGCTAGAACCTGTTCAAAGAACTTTCAAGTGACGTGTTGCATACTTTAACGATCTCGTTAATCTAGTTAAATTGTAGAATTCAATAATTTTATAAACCTTAACTGACTTGTGTAGCTTTTTCAAGAAATGCCAAGTTATTCTATGAAATAACGGAATTCACACTTTAACGGAAACATACGTAAATATGATATTTTTATTTATTTTTTATTTTTTTCAGAAATTAGCATCTCAGCAATTACTCACCCCGTGAACAACTTCCTGTAAAGAATATGAAAAATTATTAAAAAGTTTTCAAAACATTTTTTTAATCAAACTTTATAAAAATTGAACGATATAGGCGTTGCTTACAGTGAGTCAATACGACGTTTTTCTCTGAAAAACTTCGTTCTAATGGTCGAATTTTAACGTACTAAAGCTGATCTTTATGATTCAAAATTCCGCAAGTTAAGTTCGAATTGGAAAAAAATATATTTTTAAAATTAAACTTGACTAATATTTGAATTAAAACAGAAGTGTAAATTTGAAACAGAAAATGTAGATTATAATTGAAATGAAATCAATCTACCTAAGCAGGTACTTACATGTAGCATTTGACCAACATGAACTCGTATCTGTAAAAAAAGTGAAGAAAAAGAATTGTTTCATTATTTCTAAAATGCGATATTATATTTTATCTTTTAAATTCGAAAAAAATATAATAAGTGTTTTGAATTAGAAAAAATACACGAATTTGAACTCCTGAAGTACTTTATTTTATTCCAATTTTACTCTTAAACAATTATGTAGTGAACTGTACTCATAAACAATTCTGTACAACAAATTGGTCATAATTTTTCTTTTTGTTTTTAAATATGTTTAATAAAATTCTATTTCTAAAAGTATAAGGGTTCAAGTATCGAAATTCTCCAAGTATTTCACAAATATTTAAAGTGTTTTTTTATGAATAAAGAATCTTTAATATAGACAGTAAATTAGCTATTAATATAGTCAGTATATGTAGCTAGTAAGTATTAGCCAGTAAACTAGCCAAATATCGAAAGTCTTCGTCAAATGCAATTCTTAACAATTTTCTAGGATTATTTTTTTCCATAGAAAACTATTTGACGGCAGTTTGTTTTAGGCTTATATTATTTGCACTCAATTGAAATTGGTTATGCGTCGCAGCAACCGAAAATTACTGAAAATAGAAATGAATAGAAAATACTGCTTTGTTTAGAAAAATTAATTTTGGCGTAATTTTGAGGATCGAGTTAAATGTATATTTTTCTTTCCTGTGAAAAAAAATCTTTTGCCAATATTTTCGCCAAATACAATTTTATTTTCTAAATTTACAATTTTAAATCATTAGAAGGGATGGCGAATGCTTAGCGCGGGCCCTGCTATGCAATTATTTCTTGGACAGGTGATTAAAAAAATTTAAATATAAAGTATTTTAAACATAAATAAAAATGTTTTTTTTTTACATATTTGTCGAAATTTTAAGGATTCGGTGTAAGGACTAATAATAACTTAATTTAAAAAAAAAAAAAGCTGCGAATATTTGATTTGAATACACAACTTTTTCTACGACAGGAGATTTAAATTTCGAAGAAAAAAAAGTTGAAATCGCCCCCCCCCCCAATGTAAAACTCACTCCTTTTAAACGTTTTGCAACCACTATTCTTCAAACAACAAAGCGTTGATCTATGGCAATTCCCTTTGAATGCAATGAGATTACACTTGCTTATGTCCTGCATGCTACATATTTTCAATTGAAATATGTTTCGGAAAAAACAGAAAGCTGCATTAATGAATGTTTTCTGGCAATTAAAAAAAAGGCATTTTGCCAAACACGGAGAAGTATAGGAGATTTTAAAAATTATTTCAATATTTATTTTCCTTAATTATATTGATCATAAAAAGTATCTCATTTCCTAATTATAATAACCCATAAATATATTGTTAACCTTAAATGCATGAATTTTACTGCGAGACTAGAAAAAAAATTGTTACAAAATTTATTTGAAATTTAAGCAGTCTCATGTTTTTTCTCTTCTTTTTAATCTTCAAGCAAAAGGTTACAAGATTTACACCTAACTTAAGTACGCGGCGTGATAAAAAAAATGTCAACAGAAAATTTCAGTTTTACGTTTATCATTATCAGAAATGACACAGGCGACTAAAAATGTAAAAAGTAGTGGAAACTCAATTCATTTTTCTATATTTATAATCACTTCATTTGTTCAATCGTAACTACCACTCTGACTTACGTATCAAGTCATTCATATTTAAATAAAAAATAATTTTAAAAGTTAATTACTTACATAAGCCTCTAAACCAGTGGTTACCAACAGTCGACCCGAGAGCCGCGTCCGGCCCGCCAATTAAAATATATTAGTTGTCATTTTTTTTAGGACAATTTTCCTAAAAAATCTATACAATTTTTAAATACTTTAAAGTTTTTTATCTTAACGATTTGATATTTGTTGCACATTAATTGTTTAATACATAGGTGCACAATTAAAGTTATTGTTGCCAGAATTTTTTAATATGCAATTAAATATTTTTAAAAATCTACTTCTATTTCAATTTGTAATTCAATACTTTTGTTTTGTACAGCTTGATAAAATCTGACAGTAATATTTAATGTTCCTTCAAACATAAAAGAGTCCTATATAAAATTTTGATAAAGTTGCTGCCCTCCATTTGACTGGCGTTTTTAATTGCGGCCCTCGGCCTCATATAAGTTGGAAACCCCTGTCTTATTATATAATCCCCTCTCTTATTATATATTATTCAATTTCGAGGAAGGGGCAGGTAGCCGTTAGGGTTAGAGGTATCTTAGTGATCTCTTTCAATAGTAAACTGCAAAAACAATATGCGAGCAAAAGTTGCTAATTTTATTATCGTTTAGCACGTTGAAAGCCACGCTAATTTTACATGGCTTGCCCGTCTGGCCAAACTGTAAATAACTACAAACTAAATTTGCAAATTTTGCAGACTTTGCTACCTTTTTAATGGGTTTAGCATGACATATCTAAAGGAAGTGGTTAATTATATAAGCCTGCAAATTGTTTAGAAATAGTGGTGGATAAAAATCTATTAAATTGAATTAATTAAACCAAGAATGGCAATTAATAAACTACCACTTGAAAATATTTATTCGCTATCCGGAGCAAGTTGGCATCTCTGTGTAAATAAATAAAACTATTTTTCTGTGTTCTATAGTGCATTAATTTCTTCAAACCATTTTAGTAACGATAATAATATAAAAATATTAAACATTTTCTCGAATTACGTGTTTCTAATAATCTCGGCTTCGTCGTTCACCGGTGAAATCATGTGGCACTACGAACAAACTCAAGGTCGGTCACCGGTGACCCCCGTGGCAGTACGAACAAACTCAAGGTCGGTCACCGGTGACCCCCCGTGGCGCTACGAACAAACTCAGGGTCGGTCACCGGTGACCCCCATGGCATTTAACGTGTTAATAAAGTTTTTAATTTTCAGTCGCCTATGAAAACACTGCATTATAATTAATATCATTTTTGATATAAACTTAGTTTACCATGATTTCGACCACCACTATATGTAAAGGCCTGGTTTCTTAGGACAGGACGCCGTCAGCTGGAAATCAGCGCTAACCTCTGATTGGTCCATTTGTGAGTTTGATAGTATACGTCATCGAACGCTCATCTTGAACTACAATTGCCGTCCAACTCAACTGCAGTTGGATTACAACGTGACGTTAACCACAGAAGCAATGGCGGACAACATCCAACAGCACATTGAAATCAGCCAAGATTTTGATNTATATATATATATATATATATATATATATATATATATATATATATATATATATATATATATATATATATATATATATATATATATATATATATATATATATATATATATATATATATATATATATATATATATATATATATATATATATATATATATATATATATATATATATATATATATATATATATATATATATATATATATATATATATATATATATATATATATATATATATATATATATATATATATATATATATATATATATATATATATATATATATATATATATATATATATATATATATATATATATATATATATATATATATATATATATATATATATATATATATATATATATATATATATATATATATATATATATATATATATATATATATATATATATATATATATATATATATATATATATATATATATATATATATATATATATATATATATATATATATATATATATATATATATATATATATATATATATATATATATATATATATATATATATATATATATATATATATATATATATATATATATATATATATATATATATATATATATATATATATATATATATATATATATATATATATATATATATATATATATATATATATATATATATATATATATATATATATATATATATATATATATATATATATATATATATATATATATATATATATATATATATATATATATATATATATATATATATATATATATATATATATATATATATATATATATATATATATATATATATATATATATATATATATATATATATATATATATATATATATATATATATATATATATATATATATATATATATATATATATATATATATATATATATATATATATATATATATATATATATATATATATATATATATATATATATATATATATATATATATATATATATATATATATATATATATATATATATATATATATATATATATATATATATATATATATATATATATATATATATATATATATATATATATATATATATATATATATATATATATATATATATATATATATATATATATATATATATATATATATATATATATATATATATATATATATATATATATATATATATATATATATATATATATATATATATATATATATATATATATATATATATATATATATATATATATATATATATATATATATATATATATATATATATATATATATATATATATATATATATATATATATATATATATATATATATATATATATATATATATATATATATATATATATATATATATATATATATATATATATATATATATATATATATATATATATATATATATATATATATATATATATATATATATATATATATATATATATATATATATATATATATATATATATATATATATATATATATATATATATATATATATATATATATATATATATATATATATATATATATATATATATATATATATATATATATATATATATATATATATATATATATATATATATATATATATATATATATATATATATATATATATATATATATATATATATATATATATATATATATATATATATATATATATATATATATATATATATATATATATATATATATATATATATATATATATATATATATATATATATATATATATATATATATATATATATATATATATATATATATATATATATATATATATATATATATATATATATATATATATATATATATATATATATATATATATATATATATATATATATATATATATATATATATATATATATATATATATATATATATATATATATATATATATATATATATATATATATATATATATATATATATATATATATATATATATATATATATATATATATATATATATATATATATATATATATATATATATATATATATATATATATATATATATATATATATATATATATATATATATATATATATATATATATATATATATATATATATATATATATATATATATATATATATATATATATATATATATATATATATATATATATATATATATATATATATATATATATATATATATATATATATATATATATATATATATATATATATATATATATATATATATATATATATATATATATATATATATATATATATATATATATATATATATATATATATATATATATATATATATATATATATATATATATATATATATATATATATATATATATTATTACACACACATATATATATATATATATATATATATATATATATATATATAACACTTTTGCCAAATAGGGATTTCTTATTTTTATAATTGTAAGGATTTTATGCCTAGAAAGTATAAGTTTTTGTTTATACCTATTTACACATCTAACAATCATGTCCTAACCTGGAAGTTCTAGTCTACACAAGGTTAGTATAGGACATACCTATTTAAGCGTTTGACAAAGCTATTTGCTTTTTTGTTCAAAAGATTTCTAATACATATGTAAAAATCAGAAATTATTTATTTATAAAGTAAATTTTCATGTATGGACTATTAATTGTTTTGTTTTTAAACACTTTATTTACATTATATTTTGGTTATAAGTGGTATTATTTGTGACAT